AAAAAAAAGTACGGAGAAACATTAAAGAGAACACTCCTTTCCTTTCGATCCAAAGAAATCATCCCTCTAAATTTCCCCTTTTCGAGGGAATATCTTCCGATCTCGAGCAAACGCTCGAGTCCATCCATCCTGAAAATACTCGAATTCGAATCCCTACATTTCCGATACGAGTCGCGGCTCGAGGCCCATTCGAGCTTACTTCCGCGTAAGCTTCTAACGCGATCACGTCATCCCCTGGCTCACTGCCTCGGATTGGCGGTTCGAGGGTTGAAGATCGACGCGGTTTCACGAAGGCGATGACGCGTGCGCCAGTGGATTCTACGAGAGTTGTTGAGATTCGCGTTTCAACACCAAGTTTATTAGCAAGTGGCGCGCAATAGTGCATACCAAAAAGGGGGGAAGCCGAGAGAGAGAGAGAGAGAGAGAGAAAGGGTGGACTTCGAACGAGTGCATCGAAATCGTGACACAGAATTATTTTCTTTTTTAATATTAATCGTTTAATATAATTAATCACGTTCAAATTCAATAATTCTGATTCATAGTTTGCACGCTTTAAAGATAAGTTGAAAAAGGGTGGCACAGAATTTTCTTTTTTAATATTAATCATTTAATTAATCATATTCGAATTATTAGGGATTCTAATTCATAGTTTGTACGCTTTAAAGAGAGAATGAAAAAGGATGGCACAGAATTATTTTCTTTTTTAATATCAATGGTTTAATATAATTAATTCGAATTATTAGGGATTCAATAATTTTGATTCATAGTGTTTCGAGTTTGTACGCTTTAAAGAGAGATTGAAAAAGGGTAATACAGAATTATTTTCTTTTTTAATATTAATCATTTAACGTAATTAATCATATTCGAATTATTAGGGATTCAATAATTCTGATTCATAATTTGTACGTTTTAAAGAGAGGCTGGAAAAGGCACAGAATTATTTTCTTTTTTAATAACAATGGTTTAATATAATTAATTCGAATTATTAGGGTTTCAATAATTCTGATTTATAGTATATATACAGTATATATATATAGTATATATAATTCTGATATATTTGTTGCATAATTTTAAATAAATTTTGGATCGCTTGTTGTCCCTCCAAAATAGGGACAGGATTGAATCAAAAGATGTTGATGTGTTAATCTCTGTGTAATTTTTGCCGATTACGATTCTCGAGAAAGAAATTGATCGGCCTCCAACTTAATTTCGAGAGCATAAAGAAACGTTTATATAGTGTAATCATTAGAATTCGATTAGCCGCGTCATTCTTGATCCAACCCCGATGCGTGAAGGGATTTCGAGGGATTCGAAATTTCACGGTGGGACATTCCTTGGCGTGGCGAAAGAAACGCAAACGCGAGTGGTCAAAGAAAAAGGGGAAAAAAGGTGGCGCGGTGGAAATTGAAGTTCGAATTACCGAGATGGAACGCGTGCAGCGTTTCGTCCCGCTACGAGTAAATGGAATTTCAGAGGAGCGAGAAAAAAAATCGTGGCTCGAAATTGGAAAAGAGCCACTCGTGGATAAAAACAAGCAAACAATCTTCCTCCCCTCCCCAATTAATTTCGAAAACCAATTTTATTATTTTACTATTTATTTTATTATTATTTTATTATTTTAATAATTTTATTATTTTTCCGTCCTGATTATTCCTTATTCGAAGAAAGGAAATTCTTTCTTTCGATTAACGCGTTTCGTTCCATCCTTTCGTTTCGAGAGGATAGAGGGAAATTAATTTTTTCTCCAACGAGATACATTTCCTCGTTAACGAGATAAATCGTGGTCAAGGGATAATTTTTTTTTTTTTTTCTTTTTTTTGCGACGGGGAAAAAAATTCTCTGCCACGAATTCACTCTGTTTATTTTATACAAGAGGCCACTTTGGTTGGCAAATGAAAGCGATACTTTTTTTTCCTCCCCTCTTCCCTCGTTAAATAATAAATCGGTTCAACGTAAGCAAAAGATAATTTGGCATTTAAAAACGAGGCGGGGAAATAACTAATCAGCGTCGAAACTTTCTCTGTCCATCACTTGTTTATTCGTCACGAGTTCAGACTAGATGAATGGACGAGGAAGAATTTTTCTTTGGAAGCGCAAGGATTACCGGAAGGAGAATCTTTTCTTTTTTTTTTTTTTTTTTTTTTTTTCGTAATTACACCCGGAACTACAAGAGCAATTCTACTTGTGATGATTCTACAGTTTTCAGAGAGTCTGTTTTTATAAACATTTTCTTTCTTTCTTTCTTTTTTTTTTTTTATTAACTTCCGCTCTCGGTACGTGAATTTTGCTCGATGAATCTTTTAACAACGTGGCCGAGAGTCGAGCCTCGATTAATTATTCACGCGTGATCATGCATTTCGCAACCTTCTGAGATGAAAAACTGCATTATGCGAGTCGTTGCTTCTTTTTTCTCTCTCTCTCTCTCTCTTTCCTCGAGATTATTTCATCGAATTTCCGTTTCGAAAATACGAAATAAGTACAAAAATTCTTTATTTATTCCTCGTTCCTTCCGCCATACGTTGGAAGAAAAGTGGAGTGACGCGGATCTAATTTAAATATTCGAATACACGGGAACGTTATTTTTCGGGATGGTCCGTGTTTCGAGGGTAAAAAAAAAAAAAAAAAAAAAAAGGAATACTGCAACCAATCTCCCCGTGAGCCATCGATTGCGTTTCCGCTAGACGATTCCGGATAGAATTTTTGCGTGTGCGCCAGCAAGGAACGAGTCGATCGGATTCGAGAGGATAAATATTATATCAAACGTTTCGAATGGACATTTGGTCGGATGGAGAAAGAAAGTGTTTGGTAAACGATCGTGGATCAGGGGATTCTGTATGTGCAAAAATAAGTCAAGAAACTATGACACATTATGCTGGACGATTCACAAATAGCTCGCGAGGCGTGAGTTACAGAACAGGGAAGAACGATCAACATTTGCTTGAAAGGCGGTTATTATACGTTAGGCTGGATTTACATTGTTGCAGCTGTGTTTCAGTTGTCCGTAAACTACGAATTTTTCTGAATAACAAAAATATCGCAATAAATCGCAATATTGTTCGCGAACAATTCGTTCAACTGTTCGATGAGTACGCGCCTTTAAGCTGAGCGCACACTGCTGTTAATATATAATTTTAGTATTATGTTTGCTGGCAATGGATATCTTTGCGAACATTATCCTGCGAATTAATTAAATTGTATTCGTTGTGAACTGTTCGATGAGTATGAGCCTTTAAGTCTACATTGCTATTCGTAACATTTTAATAAATTATGTTCGCTGGTAATGGATATCTTTGCGAACATTATCCTGCGAATTGTTCGATGAGTATGAGCCTTTAAGTCTACATTGCTATTCGTAACATTTTAATAAATTATGTTCGCTGGTAATAGATATCTTTGCGAACATTATCTTTCGAATTAATTAAATTTTCGTTTATTCGTTGTAAATTTTTCAATGAGTATGAGCCTTTAAGTCTACTTGCTATTCGTAACATTTTAATAAATTATGTTCGCTGGCAATGGATATCTTTGCAAACATTATGTTACGAATTAATTAAATTGTATTCGTTGTAAATTATTCGATGAGTATGAGCCTTTAAGTCTATTCGTAACATTTTAATAAATTATGTTCGCTGGTAATAGATATCTTTGCGAACATTATCTTTCGAATTAATTAAATTTTCGTTTATTCGTTGTAAATTTTTCAATGAATATGAGCCTTTAAGTTTACATTGCTATTCGTAACATTTTAATAAATTATGTTCGCTAGTAATAGATATCTTTGCGAACATTATCTTTCGAATTAATTAAATTTATTCGTAAATTTTTCAATGAGTATGAACCTTTAAGTCTACTTGCTATTCGTAACATTTTAATAAATTATGTTCGCTGGTAATGGATATCTTTGCGAACATTATCTTGCGAATTAATTAAATTTTCGTTTATTTGTTATGAATTGTTCAATGTTCAATGAGTATGAGCCTTTAAGTCTACTTGCTATTCGTAACATTTTAATAAATTATATTCGCTGGTAATGGATATTTTTGCGAACATTATCCTGAATTAATTAAATTGTATTCATTGTGAATTGTTCGATGAATATCCATATATATTCATAACATTTTAATAAATTATGATTGCTGGATATTATCCTGCGAATTAATTAAATTGTATTCGTTGTGAACTATTTAATGAATATACACCTTTAACCTTTTACATTGCTATTCGTAACATTTTGATAAATTATGTTTGCTAATAATAAATACTTTTGCGAATATTATTCTTCGATTATTTAACTAAAACTTGTATTCGTTGTGAACTGTTCGAGGAACATCTTTAAACTGAATTTACACTGCTATTCGCGAAAATTTCGCAACAATTTGTAAATTAATATTCGCTACTGATACATAAATACATTTGTACAGCGAATATCACGCAATAAATCGACCAAGGAATACCGTGTTTACGAATAATGTTAATTAAATTGTTTGTTGAGTACGCGCCTTTAAAGCACGGAGTTCAAATACGGACGCGTTATTTCATTTCATCGACGAACAATTCTGCATCTGTTCACGAGCTCTACCTCCACTACGTTACGAGATGATATTTCTATACGATTGTCGACCAAAACGTAGAAAGACGTTTCCAAATAGCAATTAAGAGTGGAATTAATCGGGCCATTTTTCACCCAGGCGTGGAGCACGGAGGAGGGGGAGCCCGAAGCAGGAAGTGGCACGCGTGGTTCGTTACCACGAGAGGTATCGGGCAATCAAGTTAATGAGGAAAGAGGAGCAACGAGTCGAAAGAGACGAGCGAGAAAGAGACGCGACAAGGAAGGGCTTTCACCTAATGGTTTGAGAAACGGTTTGCTCCTCGTCGTTGGCCCGCGCCACGCGCCATTTATGGCGACTCTCATTCTCGGCCTCCGCGATCATTTGGCCCTCCTCAATCGCGTTTTCCCTCCTTTTTCTTTAATCGCAGAGGGAACGTTGCGTCAAACTTACCGTGCGTCATCGGTGTGCAGCCTCAGCCCGATCTTTGATACGCATGTCCACTTTAGAATTTTCGAAAGTTTCCCCTCGTTACTGCTCGGCCACGTGTCCTGCAACACACGATCAAATCAGTTTTCTCGTCGATCGTTTCCTCTCTTTTCCTCGTAGCGTACCAAGCAACATCATCTCATCAATTATTATAGGTCGCTCGTACAAACAAATTCTCTCTCACATTTGAACGCGATATGATACAATTTTCGCCATCTCGTTTCATTGGACGATATAAATTTTTCGAAATATTTCGAAACAAGTTCAATGAGTTCAACGCGTCAATTATTACGATACAATTTTTCGTACGCGAATCAAATCCTCCTACGAATTATTTTTTCACATTTGTTATAATTAATATTAGAAAGAAAATTTTTATTATGATATAAATTTTTCTAGCATTTCGAAATATTTCATAAACGGCCATTTCAATTTTTCCAACGCGAATGTATCGAATCAAATCCTACGAATTATCTTTTCGACTACATTTGCTCTAATATTAGAACTAATATTAGAAAAAATATTAGAAAAAATTATATAATTTTTGCGAACATTTCGTTTCATTGGACGATATAAATTTTTCGAAATAATTCTCTTACGAATTATTTTTTCACGAGTACATTTTTTATAATTAATATTAGAAAGAAAAAATTACGATATAAATTTTTCCGGCATTTCGAAATATTTTATAATTTCGGCCATTTCCTCGATTACTCCTTCATTATCCCTTCACAACGAATATATTCGCTCTAACTATATATTAGATATAAATTTTTCTGACATTTCACAAACGTCCATTCAACGTGTCAATTACAATTACGATACGAATCCTTCTACGAATCATTTACTCCGACTAACATTAGAAAGAAAAAAATTACTATATATATTTAATTTTCACGAATATCTCGTTTTATCGAACGATATAAATTTTCCATTTCGAAATATTTCAACAAGCGGCCATTTCAACGAGTTCAACGTGTCAATTATTACGATACAATTTTTCATAAGCGGGTGTCTCGAATCAAATCCTTCTATGAATTATTTTTTCACATTTGTTATAATATTAAAAAGAAAAAATTATGATATAAATTTTTCTGGCATTTCATAAGCGGCCATTTCAATGTATCAATTTTTCGAACGCGAATGAATCGAATCCTCGATTACCGTTTCATTATCCCTTCACAACGAATATATTCGCTCTAACTATATATTAGATATAAATTTTTCTGACATTTCACAAACGTCCATTCAACGTATCAATTACAATTACGATACGAATGTTTCGAATTCTTCTACGAATCATTTACTCCGACTAACATTAGAAAGAAAAAAATTACTATATATATTTAATTTTCACGAATATCTCGTTTCATCGAACGATGTAAATTTTCCATTTCGAAATATTTCAACAGGCAACCATTTCAACGCGTCAATTACTACGATACAATTTTTCGAACGCGAGCACACAATTCTTATCCCTTAGCAACGAGTATATTTACTCTAATTATTAAAAAGAAAAAAATTACCAATTAGTTCTTTCTCCCGAGACAACCCCAAAGAAAGGAAGAAATTCGTCTTGTGAATGCACAGCAATCGTTGGACGACACGCAACCCTTAACGCCGATTTCGTGACCGCGAAAGGCGTCGAGTGGCGTAAACAGCGCAAGTTCTGGGCGTGTAAACGCGATCAGATTTACGAGCGCGGCATTTAGCGCGATAAGCCACGACCCACTAATGCGAACCGTGTGCAACACCGCGAGGATTGAGCGTTAAGCACGCCACTCTCGCGGACAGAAACTTTTCTATGGGCGGAGAGAAATGTTGTTTGAATGGCGCTGACGTCTCTGATGGAAACCCGCCGTGCCGTGCATCACCGAGTTCACGAATCCCTCGATTCGTGTAAGAGTCCCGTTGAAAGCGTGAAAAGGAAAGAAAGATTATTTCTTCCGATTTTAAATATTTATATTCGGTTGGCCACGAAAATAATTTTATTAAACGAGGATGTAGCGAAAGGATAAAGAATTTGTTTTTTTCTTCTCATGGTTCTTATTACAATTTATAATATAATTTTACAATATTAATTAATTCTCTCAAGAACGAAGAGTCAAATATTATAAATTTTCGGTTTACTTTTGCACCAGAGATCATCCTCCTCGCATCTCATTTTAATCACATCCAGTATAAAATTATAATATATATAAAAAGAAAGTAAAAAAGAAAATTTAATATCTCTCTTCGCGCAAGCAACGAAATACCTTTTAATCGATATCAAAGAATAATTAATGATCCTCGATGGAGTTTCCTTTAAAGATAAATATAAAAACGCAGAAAACCATCCAACATAACAGATAACACCTCGTACGTTTGTGCGTCGTGCAGAAGAAACGAGAAACAGAAACCGAAACTTTCCTGTACACACATGTGTAGTACACATTTCGCGATATTATGCAGATCCAGGGATCTGCGCGTCGAAAAGCGGCACGGAACGTGGATAAAATTCGACTGGCATCGAATAAAACTCCGTTTGCCGGCTAATAAAAGAAAGAAAGGGATATCATCCCACGCGAAGGATGCATAATCGCCGCCGATCGTTCGATAAACGATTCTCGACGAAAACGACGATGGACGATGGAGAGAGATGGCTCGATCCCATCCTCTATTTTTCTCTATTTTGTTTCGCGAGTGTCCTTTCTCTCGCACGAAGAACACACAAAGAATTACACTGCTCTGAGCGAGGAGCATTTTCAGCTCGAAATCGAGCGTCGTGGAGACAAGAGAGATGGATATAGAGAAGAAGAGGGGTAGAGAGAAAGATAAAAGGGAAGCTCAAGTTTTCTCTCTGTACTTTTTCTAAAAAAAGGAGCAACTACTCGCCTCTTATCCGTCAACTCGATATCAAAGGATCGAGTCGAAATCTTGAACGAGAGAAAACTCCAAATTTCTCTTTGATACCACCTTGATATTTTATCGTTCCCCTTTGGATTAAGATTCTTTCTCTGTCGTTCTTCCATTTTCCGTTTTATTCTCCCTCTTTTTCTTTTCTTTTTTTTTTTTTTTTCAAGTCCTTTGTCACATATTAAATTTCACGGGAGAGGGTTCGATATCGATTTAATCGGGATACGATCTTCAAACGATCTTTCGCCGTTCCATCAGAGGAACCACCTGTGTGTAATTCGGCCGTGCTGGAAATTGAAATCGTCCTTTCTCCCTCCCCTCCACGAGGAGGATCTTTCTCCCGTTCGAAAGGGAGCTGAAAGAAATTACCCGCAACTTTCGAGACAAAGAGAATTTTCTCATCTACAATCCCTTTTTTCCCCCTTTCCACCTCGCCTTTCAATTTTGCATGCAAAACGTTTCAATTCCTCCATCTTCCTCCCGGAAGATCGAATCGCGACCTTCGAATCAATTCCTTCCGTTCTATCGATCTTCGCCAACGTAATCTTACCCATCGTTTCTTCGAATAATTCAATATTTATGATTTTTTTTTTTTTAATAGAAGTATTTGTATCGCGTTTATAAAATCACCTTTATTTTATTTATTTATTTTTTTCCTACGACGCAATCGAATATTCCCGTTTCGTTTTATAATGTTACATAAATAAAACTATATATATAAAGCTCTCACCGCCAGTCGAATCATCGATATTAAATATTCCGAGGAGAACGTTAATTTGTTTTTAATTATCGATAATTAATCGAACCGGTGGATATACATATATATTTAAACCATTCGAATAAAAAGCGGAATTTCCGCGTAATTCCAGGAGAATTTCGCCGAGGGAAATGCATCTTCGCGAAAGTCTTTCTTCTTTGAGAAATTCCCTAATAAAATAGAACGCTGTGAGGGGAGGGGAATGCGTAACTACGTCCGAGCGAACGAAACACGGTTAACGGTGTCGTTCACTGCGCAGTTACGGGCGAAGAAAAGGAAATTAAATTCCCTTACAGCTCAATCTCCATACACATTTCACGCACGGAAGCCGTTCCCCGTTCGCCGTTCGTTCAAACGATCCCCCCCTCCGCCATATCCAGATAAATTTCCCAATTTCGACGGGAAAACCGAACTTTCTAATTGTTTCCCGACCGATACCAGACGTATCGATATCGACGTGACGTGAAATACGAGCCAGAAACGTTTCCTATTTTATGACGCTTACGATTGCGTCAGATTTTCTTTTCTATCGACGAACCTGTATGTTCGTGAGAATTTTCTTAGTGGTCTTTTGTCATTAGTACTGGCGGCCATTTTTTCTCGTTTTCTTCGCAACGAAATCAACAATTTCGACTCCGTCCGATTTTTCTTCCTTCCGATCTTTCTTCCTTAACGATCGAAATTGACAGATGAGAAATATCGATCGAACAGCTGGCCGTGTATTTTGATGGAAAATATTCCCTATCCGGGGTTCCATCGCTCATCGATCCGAGTCGCGACACCTAGGAGACACCTAGGAGCGTCTTATCCACGTTTCCTAGGGAAAAAACGATCCCTGGTGGAAATACCAGAGGCTAGGAGAGAAAATAGTTCCAGTTCCAGATTCGTTACAACGTCTTATGATATCGCTCCGCACAAAAAAAAAAAAAAAGTAGTCTGAAAGTATCCTCGTAACTTTGCGTTTCCAAGGAAGGAAGCGATAGTTTTTCTCTTTCTCTCTCTCTCAAATTTTCAGACACGCGAATCTCGGGGAGAACGGCCAGAAGAAAACTTTCGTGGAGCGTTTCCAATTTTTCGACGTGAGTACGTATCACCGCGCTTTCCACGGCTTTTAACCATGGCTTCCCTCGCCAACCGAAAAGAATACCGTGTAATATTGACCGACTCTGTCGTCCCGAGATTTCTCGCCACCGATATCCACCCAACAAATACACGAGTGCGTCTCACGGCCATTCCTTTCCGATTTGCGATCCCTTCCTCGTCTCGTTTCGAATCGAAAGCCAAGATCTTTCAATTCAGTTGAAAGTATACTCTATAACGGTATGTTATTGAGAAAGATACGAATATATATCGTATTAATTTTTTTTTTATTTTTTACTCCTCAAAAAAGAAAAAAATCGTTAGCGTTAATATCCAATCATGAGGAGGAACTCTGTCAGATAAAACTGTTTTAATTAATAATATAGCGTTAATGGAATAAGTATAGATAAGTGAGAAAGAAAGGAGAGTACGTTATCCAAGAAGCATGAGACGAGATCGTATGCAGAGATAGTATTGAGAAAGAGAGAGAGAGAGAGAGAGGGGAGATTAAGTCAATTTTGAAAACTGATGCCCACGTCCTGACACTCTGGCGGACAATCGAGCTTAATTTGGCCGGTCAACAGCGACAGCCGGATAACTACGTTACATGGGATTTCTAGGGATCCCTAGACCGGTTCGAGGGAAATTTCAACGCGAGCCGAGTCCCTGGGGTGCGATTCACTTATACAGCTAATACCTGAAGCCGTCAACATCAAGGGAAGATTCTATTAAGGAACCGCCCAGACCTTATCAGTTATTCGATTTCACTAGAAATTCGGCTACAATTCCAATTGGTTTCAAAAGTCTCGATTTATTCCGGTTCAATGGTGCCGATATCTTTCCAATTCATTAATCGGATCGATTCTACGCGAGAAGATTATTCTGAAAAAATTCTAGATAATGCCTCGAATATATATTCGTTCCACGAAATTAGATCGAAACGTTAGATGCGTCTTATATTCACCTAATTACATCCATTTAATTATGCAATATTTTAAGTTTAAGTTCAACATGCAAACGTATTAACATGTCACATCCTATTGTTTTCGATACGTGTTTCATAAATTTAAATAAATAAACGGATGATGTAAACAAAATACTTGTTTTGCATTGCAATTTTTCAAGATATAAATTGTCCACGGTTCATCGATCGGATCAAATCCAACCTAACCTAACCTAACTTAATTTTCATTCCCCTCATCCGCCCGATGATATAAATACCTGGCGTATTACCAGGATTATTTTCGCGGATTTCTTCGATAATCCGAATCAGTGTGGATCCAATTATCGCAGATTGCATGACGGGCTCGCGAGGAGAGAGAGAGAGAGAGAGAGACGGTTAACGGCACTTCAATTGGCCTAATCGTAGTCACTTTGCCGGGCAAGTCCCCGCCGGGCACCGACGTTCACGACCCGTTTATTAAATAAGAGCAAAGGCCACGAACCATTTGCAAAGTGGGACGAATGGATTAGATTTCCTGTTGCAATTCTACACGTGTGCATACGTCCGCCTTCAACGACGACTAATGAATGCAGCGATGAAAATCGTTGCCGTTGCGCGAGCAGGGTCATCCTTATTGGGCGTGAGATCGCGTTACGTTGGCTCCGCTCGTGAAAACTCGTTAACAATCGTGATAACAATAACAATAATAATAATAATAACAATAGCCGTTCGAGAGTATCAGTATCAATAAACCGAATATCCCTTCCATCCCGACTTTCTATGGGAAACTATCCCGTTAGGGTATTATATCGGATATATTATCACGTTGATTAATCCCGATTTATTAATCGAAATACAAAACTTTCTCACCGAATGGACTTACGTAAGACGGACGGAAGGCGTAACGCTTCAACTTCGGCCCATTATGTAGAAAGTATTATAGTAAAACTCTTGATATGAAAATATTACTTATCTAATATTACCGAGTCACGCAAGTTACGCCGTGTGTCAATATGCAGGTTATTAATAAAGAACGAGAAGAGAAAGTATTGTTACGATTTATGTGTTTGAATTCAAAAAAAAAAATATAGGACGATAATTTACTTTTTTCAAGATATCTAAAAGTTGTTCGTTATTTATTACATATATACGCGTTCAACGTGTCACGT